AAACTATCATTTTAAGAAATATTTGGGCCCAGCATAGTGGTGCTAGCTTGTAATCCCAGAGGCTCAGGAGGCTGATACAGGAGGATTTTGAGTTCAAAGCCAGCCTCAGCAATGGCAAAGTGTTAAGCAACTCTGTGAGACCTTGTCTCTAAATAAAATACAAAATAGGACTGGGGATGTGGATTAGTGGTTGAGTGCCCCTGAGTTCAATCCCTGATACAAAAAAAAAAAAAAAATGGGACTTATTTAAACTTCTTTATATTCACTGGGGTTGGAGAGATTTAAAGTTAAATAATATATATTTACTGAGTAGTGGTTCCCAAAATGTGGGCTGTGATTACCTGCTTCAGAATCCCATGAACTGCCTATTGGCAATGTGGGGTTCAGCCCCCAAACTGAGCCTAGTGAACCATAATCTTTGTTCATTGGGCCTAAAAGTTGGAATTTTAGAATGTTTTTCCAGTAAATCTCCCACTTCCACTAAAGTTTGAGAGCTACTGGAATTGAGAGAAAGGCCTGAGTTTTATTGTTGTATAGACGTGAATCTTAGCTCTGTTTTGTAGTAGTGTTACCTTGGGCAAAATACTTAACTTCTTGTTGTTCCAGTTTCCTCATCTGTAAAGTAAGAATGATATTCTTTTCCTGGAAAGGGTAGATGCTATGTATAATAACTGCCTGGTACAGTAAGAAAACACAGCTCACACAGCTATTATTATTACTCATGCACCACTCTGGTGAAATAGACTCTCCTGATGCCAATGGAACTGAGAGTCTCATAAGAAATCACTTTACACTTTGAATCAATTAGATTTTCAAGGAGTTACTTGAAGTGGATGAAAGAAATTGATGGAATGGAAGAATGAGTCCCTTTGGAAAGCTGTGGTCACCTGTGGCTTGGGTGGTAGTGGTGCTCTGTTCCAGAGCAATGATTCCTAAACCTCAGACACCACCAGAAACTCCTGTTTGGCATGTTGTACATACAGATGATGAGGTTTCATACCATGTCTGCTAAGTCAGACCTTTGGAGAGAGAACCAGAAGGTACATGTATAATCAGCTTCTGCATTGATTCTTAGCCTAATTTAGGGGAAGTATAGCCCAGAGGACATAAATGTTTTATCCCTATGAAGTTTTATCACTCTTTTCTCACTTCTAGTCCAAATACTGAATAACAGGGAATATGATTTTGATGGGCAATGGTGATAACATCAGTAATAGTAATAATTAATAATAAATAATGGCTAGCATTTATGAGCTCTGCCTGTGAGGTAGTCATCATTATAAAGTTTAAATGCATTAACTCTTTAATCCTTACAGTGATATTAAAAAAAATAGATTTTTTTTTTTTTTTTGGTGGTGCTGGGGATTGAATCCAGGGCCTTGTGCATGTGAGGCAAGAACTTTACCAACTGGGCTATATCCATAGCCCCAAATAGGTGTTTTAATCATCTGCATTTCACAGAGAGAAAACAGGGAAAGATTTTAAATATAGAGCAGGGCTAGGGAACTCTGTTCCTGACCACTAGTCTACTGGATTTCCTAATTCAAGTGAAGAGCATAGGCTCCTTCTGTCTACACTTCAAAAGTAAGCAGAAGGCTTTACCTCTTTGGTTTGAAAGAGCCTCAAGTTTTGCTAGCTGGAAGGAGGGGACCAGGTCTAGAGCCAGGTCAGCCTTCTGGGAAGTTGATATGGGGAAGGGACAGACCTGCATAGATAGTCACGGACATTCTGGAACATTTTCATTAAGTAGCTGAAACTGGAGTGTGGTTAGATTGAAGCACTAGGCCCAGCCTTTTCCCTGTGTCATGGCAACATACTGGGGCACTAAGGGATTTATAGGGAAAGCCCATGCTGCCTTTTGTCCTACCAATGACAGTGAGCTGAGAAAAACTCATCTTGGAGGCTCAGCACCATGGCTCCTATTGGGAAACACAAGGGTTTTTTTGTTTTTTTTTTGTAACCCCAGGGCTCATGTGTCAGGTTTGGAGGTTAATTCTTTTTGTCTTATGGCCCAAACTTCACTTTTTTCTACTAATAATGTTATACCTAAAAGAGATTTCTTTGACATATACTATAATAATTAGATGGATCTTGAAATTATGGAATAAAGGTCAATCTCATTAGCCTTAAGTTTAGTTAAAGTTTAACATCCAAGGATTTGTCCCCCAATTCTGGTCATTTTCAAAAGGATAACTCTACTAGAATTTATAGGCCAGCATCATTGTGAAGACAGCAGTGTCTAGACCTTACTGGTTTCCACAAATTTCTGGAGCCAATATTTAGAAGGACAATTTAATCTTCTCCTTCTGTATACTAATAATTCTGATTTGAAGAGCAATATCTTGAGACATTTTTCCAGTAACACAGTCTTATTTCCAGGCACCCTAATTTTAAAGCTAATTACCCTCAGGGTTTATTTTCATTTCTTTTTTTTCTCTGAGGAATGGAGCCCTGTTAAGTATTTATATAAAAATTCTAAGAGCTACCCTTGTTTGAGAAACAGATGTTAGAAGAGAATGCAGTCAAAAGTGAGAAGAAATGACTGGAGCAGAGAACGCTTATAATAATAATTACCAATGAGTTAAAAGTCAAATAATAAGTGCATCTCTTGTTTGTGTGCAAGAATGTTATTGCTAACCCACTATTATAAGTGGCATGCTTTTTGAGTGTTTTTCCATTAGCGCTGATGCATTTGGGCAGTGGTGATCACAGGCTCTTGCCTGACCATACTGGTAATCAGTAGCAGGCATCTGCAAAGGAGATAGCCAAGATTTTCTGATGTTTCTATGGTGAAAGAAAAGGGGCAAATTTCTACTCCTAAGGAGGAGTGAGCCTATTTTCCCAACCAGCATTGTGCTTCTGCATCAAACAGCACGTGCTGTGACACAGATAGTGATGGAGGAGATTTGGAGGCTTAATAAGTGTCAAAGTTGAAGGGTCTGTAAGTTTTCCTACCAGAAAACCCTGTTTATTCCTGCTCTATACTTCAAGTGCTATCTAAAGACCAAATGCATCAGCAGGAAAAACCAGTAGCTAGTTAATGAGTTTTTTGTTCCAAACCAATAAGTCAAGTTTTTCTTTGTTTGTTTGGCTCAACAGATTGTGCTTTATTTACAAGCCATTAGCAGTTATTAATAAATGAAGTTGGGTGTGACAAATATTTTTGAATTTCAGACAACTCATTTGATACTTGATATAATGAAAGAATATTTATTTAAGGTGAAATTCAGAACTTGACTGAGATCCTATTACCTGTGGACAGCCCAGTCTTTCTGATATACTTCAGTGGAGCATGAGGGGGACGATTGGTGGGGCTCTGCAGACAGACTCCCTTCATTGAGCTCATGGCTCTGCTTTTACTAGAGTGTGACCTTGGGCAAGCTCAGTCCTCTGTGCCTCAGCAATCTATTTTTTGTCAAATAGAGGCAATCATATTACCAACCACAAAGAGAACTTTGCAGCATTATGTGAGATAATGTACTCTGTGATTAGCAAAGAGTGAGCTCTCAAATATGTATTAACTAATAATAGAATAAACTGAAACAAAATTTAAACTCTGTCCTTGGCTACATCTTGATGCATCTCTTGTTACATTTTGTAATTACTGCATGAAATAGAGACTATGTTGGATAACTAATGAAATTTAACCAATGAATATATGAATTTTGCAATAAATACATCTATGCTTTGATTAGGGATTCAGTGGTTACCAGTACTAAATACATTAAAGATACATTTAATAAAATCAAAATAAAATTTTATATATGAAATCATTTTTCTAGAATAGACTTTTGTCTAAATTCATGTAGAGACAGTACTAAATAGTGTACAGTTTCATTGTCTGTACTCATTTCTACTCTTATTGTTTTTACATTTATTAATAGACTTTAGTAACTAAAAATTATCTTATTCATTCCTTCCTGTGATAATCAACCAGTATGTCAACCTACCTAACCTGGTAAACTACAATATTAATTTTATGCATTTAGACTGAACATTTCAACTCTGATTTTCTATTTCTATTCAATGGAGGTTTTTTTATATAGTGTGCTCTTAAGAAGAATATATTTTCCCTCATGAATGAAAAATAAGTATTAAGGTTATTAAACCACAATAATGCAATGATAATGACATATAACATATTACATGAGAGAATACAATACAATATGTATAATTTATTTTGATTGATCAAATTGCCTTTATTATGGTTGTTTGACCTTGGGGCTTTAGTGCACATGTATTATAGTTTGGTGCATTCTCCATTAGAAGGAATGGGGTGGGGAAATGAATGTGTTTATGGTGCCAAGAATGGATGGGTACTTAGCCACTAAAATGTTGGCTGTGCAAAACTAAAGTGACTGGCTTGATTTTGGTAGACTCTAACATTTTCCTGCTTGAGTCATTGCTAAAATGAGGGTGAAAGCTGTGCTTGGGGAAGGTCTTAGACAAGAAAGGTTGAAATGGAGGGACACTAGGTTCTTGAGATGTATCTTATGACTGTGAAGTAGGAATGGTTAATGTTTGCACAGAGAAAGATGACGAACTGACTAGGCTTCAAAGTTACACTTTTATAAACTCATCATGATTTTCTCTTCCAAAAGTCATGGCCTATGTAGTCACTCCTAATTACAGAGGCTGGTTATCATTGTTTTTAAGTTATTTGCTTTATTTATTTCTTCATATGATTGTTTTGCCTAGTGTTTCTCATAAACTTATTTGCTGAAATCTTCCAGGAAACCTTTCCTCTAATAAAAGCTCCTGTAAGTCCAACTGCTATGCCCATTGCTGTATGGGTATATTATCTATTAATTATAGCCAGGGTTCTCTCTCTGCTGTAGCAGTTCTGGTTTTGTGGGGAGGGAGGGTCAGTATGCAAGAGAGTTAGGCAAGGGAGATAAGGTGGTGTCAGTGGTAATATGGTGGTGAGACCCTTCTAATTGTGAAAATTTAGTATTAATGACTTCCTGGTTGCAATGATATTCTTTGTTTGTGTCTTCCAGTTGCCTTGACCAGAGAGGCCCAAGAATCAACAGGCATGAGTAAAGGGAAAAAAAAAAAAAAAACGTTGAGTGAAGGGAACACTGCAGATCAGCAAGCCTTTCTGTGTCCAATTTGCTCTTCTACTTGGCTTGAGGAACTTGAGAATACATGTAGGAATATACTTTTAAAACTGCTTTGATATTTTTAATTTCAATGGACAATTGCAATTATTAATTGGCTGTCCTCTTTGCAGATGCCTGCTATTGGTTACTAGTGTGGTGAGGCAAGTCTCCCTCTCTGTGGTCAGTGATCAAGACCTCACTTCTGTGTTTTTTGCTTCCATGAAGAATTCTACATAAGCTATGAATGTTCTTACAGATCACCTCTGCAAAAGTGAAATAAACATTTTCTAGCTCAATTATTCTGTGAATTGTTTTGATAAAATCGACTCCTATTTTTTTTTATCTTAAGTGTTTTGCATATCCAGCACATAGATCTGGTCTTTCCCCAATTCAGAAAGGCCTATTTCTACTGTGTCCTGTGTTGCTGCATCTTGGATCCTTTACCTCAATTAATTGCTGATGTCATCTCTTAGCTATTTCCAAAAGGGTGTCTGAGTTGCTTTGCTTACTTTATTACATACTAGTCCTTATGAAGTCACTTTAGACAGACCTACCATTATCACACTATATATGCTGTATATACTGAGGTCTATCATCTATGTTACCTCATGTGAGTCTTCTCTCAAGGCTTCAAGATAGATATTCCTTTTACTCACCATAAGAGTTTCTGAAGCTCAGAGTTTGGACCTAATATGTTTAAACTTAAATATCTACTGAATGGTAGATGCATATTCAAAACCCCTTCAGGTCAACTTCAAAGTCTACATTCCTTCACTATGTTTTGGTAACTGAGAATTTGCCTTTGGAGGGCTGGATCACAACACTGCTTTCATGCTATTTGACTATTTGTTCTACTTTCTATTCTCCCTTTCAATTCTAGCATTGTTCAGCCTCTACAAAAATCAAGATTACTTTTTCTGTATTTTAAATATATAATATTGAGTCAAACTATTATTAGCACTGTGCAAGGCACTGTATGGGATACAAAAATAAATGAGTCTGTGGATAACCTTGGGAACTTCTATTTTAATCACTACAACATGAGCCGGAATAACCTGCATACAGTTGTCTACAGTAGGAGACAGAATAAAATTATCATTATTGAGCCCATGATAGAAATTTACAAGAAGGAGAAAGCAACCCCAGAAACCTCTCCTCTTTGGATCTTGGTTGATTTGTTTTGTTTGCCATAGTGTTTACAGGGATGGGGAGCAGAAGAAAGGTGATGACCACATTTTATTGGTTCACTGTCACTGCTATTTTTTATAATTAGCCTAAGTTTTGGTGAGAAACAAGAATGCAAAAGAGGATCTAGGCAGGGATGGGGCATGCAGATAATTATTTTATTTTGCTGATACTTTCTCCTTGTAGTGATTGTGGAGAGGGAGGGAGGGAGGGAGGGAGGGAGAGAGAGAAGAGAGAGAGAGAGAGAGAGAGAGAGAGAGAGAGAGAGAGAGAGAGAGAGAGAGATCTTACCCTGGTTAAATTTAATCTGACAACCCAAAATCCATTCATTCAATGTAATGGTGAATACATTAAATTATGGAGTTGGGATATACAATGATGAACTGAAATATATATACTATGGAGAAATAGGATGTCTGTCAACATAAATATTCTATGGCAGGAAGTGATAGAAAGGGATAGAAAGGATTTTATTATACAATATAAGAGAAGGAAGAGGCTATTTCCTCCTAGAAGCATCAGGGAAAACTATAAGAAGAAAGGGATAGTTAGTAGGAATAGCCAATCTCCATTAATTGCTAACCATATTCCAAGCTTGTGTTGTCCTAAGCCTAAATTGACTCTTGCAAAACTCTGTGAGATAGCTGCTATCATTCTCTCCCCTTCCCTCCTCCTGTTTGTCCACTAAGAAAAACCACTGCATAGAGAAGTTAAATAACTTGCTGGTAAATAGTTTGCAGTTCAGCTCTAGAGTCTGGCCATTTAACCACACAGTGGTATTCCTCAGTGGCTGTGTCCTGGAGGATGAGAGGAGTGGATTTTTCGCATGAGAACTAGCAGAGCAAGTAGAGAAATATTAGCAGGAAAGGATGAAGGGAACATGGGGTGTCAGATCACACAATTTAGAAAGAGAGATACACGAAGAGAAGACATTGTAAATAAAATTTTTAACATAAAACTAGGCTAGAGTCAGGTCATAAAGGAAATCAAGTCACTTTCTAAAGGGTGAGTCTTGACTTTTTATACTTGGCAGGTTTTGAAAGGTCTCATCTTATGACATAGGTGGTTTGTAGAAAGACTAATCTGACAGTCACATGCAAGATGGATATGACACTTGCATAGAGGGCAGCAAGACCAGTTAAGGAGATTATAATCAATAACAGAGAACAAGACTTAGAGTGACAGAAGTGACAATGACAATGAGAAATTGCCAAAGAGGCTGTGAGTAATTACAAATGGAAGTGCAACACTGAAAGTTTAGTGATTGAGAAAGTGGAGTCAGAAGAAAAATGTGAGCCTTGAGCTTGGGTAATTGTAAGGGTAGGGGTGTTAGCCACCCAGCTCTGAAACAGGAGACCTCAAGTGCTGTGTAACAAATGAAGAAGTTAATTTTGCACATGGAGCCATGTAGACTGAGCTGCCGGCTGGCTGATCTTCTGACAGTAAGTATGATAATTAGTTCTGATAGTGTTTGAATGCATTCTATAGGGTATATCTTTTTAAAAACTAAATCAAAGTCAGGGCCTGAGAGGAAGAGTATACCCCAGGGTTTATGATGAGAACCTTTTTTTTTAAAATCTTTTTTTTTTTGGTTGTTCAAAACATTACAAAGCTCATGACATATCATCTTTCATACATTTGTTTCAAGTGGGTTATGAACTCCCATTTTTGCCCCAAATACAAGTTGCAGAATCACATCAGTTACACATCCACATTTTTACATAATACCATATTAATGACTGTTGTATTCTGCTACCTTTCCTATCCTCTACTATCCCCCCTCCCCTTCCCTCTCATCTTCCCTCTCTACCCCATCTGCTGTTGTTTAATTCTCTCCCTTGTTTTTTTTTTTCCCTTTCCCCTCACAACTGACAGATTTTCTTGAAACTTCTGGGTCTTCCCCTTTATTGGAAGATAGGATCCCCCATCCCCTTTACTCAAAGATATGGAGAAGCCTCAAATAAAATAAATGTTTTATAAAACTATGCTGTTTTTCTCAGGACATTTCCCAACTTTTCTCCTGTTTGCTGGAGCAATTACCAGGGATCTATCTCAGTAAGACCCAACTGGGAAATTATTGGGACTGTTAAAAGACCTAGATCATCTGTATCAGTGGAGGGTATGTTCAAGAGTGGCTCCTGAGAGTTCTGGGTTGATGGATCAGAATATAAAGCTGGATCATAAAGAACTGTCATTATGGGGGCATTCTCTCATAATACAGCATTTAATCCCTGGAAAGGGAGCTCTCTCTCTCTTTCTCTCTTTCTTCAACATTCAGGGACACTTTACTACTGAGCTACATCCCTTTTTCTTTTTCTTTTTATCTTTTTTTAAAAAAAATATTGAGATAGTGTCTCAGTTAGTTGAGGAGGCTGGCCTCAAACTTGCCTTAGCATCCTGAGTAACTGGGATCATTGGTATGTGACACTATTACCAGCCCCAGGATATGATTTATTTTATGATGCTGGGGTAGATATCCAGAAGCTTGAAAGAAGTGATGGTCCTCATGAAATGAAGTAGAAATGTCAAAACAGACTGTAGAAGAAGGGTTCAAGCAGACACAGAGAAGTGGTCATGGTAAGGTCTCTTTAAAATGGAAGAACAGTGGACTCACAGGATGACTGTATTCTTTGGGAGGCCCAGGGGATATTCTGTCGAGAGGATAAGAGATGCACTGTGAGGGGGACCTTGGCATTATTAAGAAGCTTAGTAGCCACTTCTTTCTGCAGGCTGAGCTAACAGCAGGAGTTTCTGCTACAGAACTGAACTACCGAGCAGAGTTGGTAAACAAAACATTTGGGATCCTTGTTTAAAAAACAGGAAAAAAACATTTTTTTTTCTTCCAAAATTCCTTGACTTGTTGTTTGTTTTATTTGCTATTTAAATATCTTCCAGGGGTGTGTGCTTCCAGGAGTGCAAGATATTTCCAGGGTAAGAGTATACCCTTGAATTAGGAAGACTTCTCAAGAGAAACAGAATCAATAATATTGATTGATTGATTGGAATTGGCTCAGGTGATTATGGGGGCTAAGTCTCACAGTTTGCACCAAGCTGGAGATTCAGGAGGCCTGTGGTGTAGTTCCAGTCTGAGTCCATGTTTAAAGGCAGAAGATGACTGGTCTTTTAGCTAGAAGACAGCCAGCACAGAGAGTGAAGGCTCTATTACTCAGTCTTTCTATTGCATTCACTCCTTTAGTGAAATGAATAAGGACCACTCACTTTGGGGAGGACAATCAGTTTACTGATTTAAAAGTTGATCTCATCAGGAAGCACCCTCACAGGCACACCCAGGATAATTTTAAATCAAATATCTGTACACCCTGTGGCCTGATCAAGTTGACACATTAACATTAACCATCAAAGAGCTATAGATAGCAAGTACTCTGGAAATTTTAGTAAGATACTTGTGTTGCAGAGAGTGGAAGGCAAAACACAATACATTCAGGGCCCACTATATGACTAAGAAAATAGCATAATACTTAGTAAGTCTCTTCAGGTTTTGGAGTTAGCATATTCTACACTTTAGATACTGCTGCAACCATATTGCAGGTGATGTGAAAGATAGCTAAATTTGTGTGAGGCTAAGAGCGAGAAAGTATTCCATTGCACATTGAGGCTGTAGCACAGGTGAACCTGTTGTTTGACCAAATGATCAGGCAGACTTCACAGTATTAGAGATGTCTGTGGGTGGGACTAAAGGAGGCTGCACTGAAGCCTGGGCCAAGCCCCAGATAGGAGAGTTTAGAATAGATCCCTAGGGTCCTTGAAAAAAGCACGTTCCTTCTGCAGCAGATAAATATGTATCACTTGGAAAAAACTGATACTGTTTTGCTAACCCCCTAGCAGAGGACATTAAATGATTGGTCAGAACTGGCTATTATAAGGTAAGTGCTATCAGAATCACCAAATTGGGCCTCTCAGTAATCCATGTGAATGGAAGTAGTTCATCTGCTATTAGTCTTGAATAGGTTAGAGGGTGGGTTTCACATATATGTTGGATACAGTCCTTTGCCAGATATGTGTTTTGTAAATGTCTTTTCCCAGCCTGTGGCTAGCCTTTTCCTCTTGACAGTGTGTTTTACAGAACAACTTTTAACTTTTTAAAATTTAAAATTTTAACTAAGTCAGCTTGTTGATGATTTCTTTGTATCTAAGGAATCATCACTGCACCCAAATTTGTCTAGGGTTTTGTTTATGTCATCTTCTAGGAGTTTTGTGTTTTGTACCTAGGTCTATATGATCCCTTTTGAGTTACTGTTTTGTAAAGAGCCTGTCCTTTTCAATTTTTATTTTGGCTTATGCTTTATTTCTCTTCTCTTTTATGCTGCTGTAAAGAACTAGGAGACTT